TCAACTATTACTTTATTGATATTAGCTGAACAAAAAGTCGTTTTTCCTAACAGCAGCCTTTAATCTTTGTAAACTGCCATGTATAAAAAAATATTTCTAATCTCACGTCAAATCTGTATACAGTTGCTATGACTTTTATCAATATCAGTATTCAGGGAAATCTACAAGTTATAATCAACAGGAACCATGTATCCACAGCTTGAAAGCATCTTGTTGATAAGACAAGACACTGTCAGCAGATACATCTATTTACGAGATTGTATTAAAAGGGCATTATATTTTTTTGAAAATACTAACTATGACATAATAGGCATGCTTAGACGGACCAAATAAATAAAGTTCATCTTGTCTAGACATAAAAATACAGGTCATTGATTTTATCTTGTCATATTTTATGTTTTATAAAGCCTTCAAAGGTCGAAGGGAACAAGGTTAACTCGTAAAGGCTTATTATTCGAAAGAAAAAAAAGGCAATCTAGATTAGTACAAAAAGATTAAGACAGCTGAGTTGGTAACAAGACTTCATTTAGCCTCCCAGTGACTGAAAAAAGTCAGACATAATATGAACTTTTGTTAAAGTCTCTTGTCTGTCAGATTGTCGGTTACTTGGGTGTAGGATGGTTTAACAAGGATTGAGACATGATTTTAGCATACAATTCTTCTTCCTTAATAAATAAAAATATTTTCTATAGTCGGTTTGTTAGGATTAGTTTTGTTTTTACGAGTTTGATCACGGATTGACATCAGTTAGAGAACCATTGAAAACCAGTACTGAAGTACTGGACAGTTAAATTCATCCTAGTTTTGGACTCATCGGCAGTGCACACCCACGGTAAGCTAGCCAGTAGACCATTTAGCCACTGGGACCCGACTTCCCAATAGCCATCCCATGAATTCTAGCTTCTACCGATTCGTGATGTATTTAGCGCCACCGGCACCAACCAATGTCATCGGTGGGAAATCCATCCTTACTCACGACTGGATGCACCTCACTGGTCATGACTTCTCACTAGAACTAACTCCAGGGAACTCCGTCCTGTAGCAAGTCACTAGCGAGCATCAAATTAATTTTCTATAGTTGGTTTGTAAGGATTAGTTTTGTTTTTTACGAGTTTTTGCGATCAATCCGTCATCAACTCATATACATAAAATTAATCCTTACAAACCAACTATAGAAAATTAATCTGATGCTCTCTAATGGCTTGCTACAGGACGGAGTTTCCTGGAGTTAGTTCTAGTGAGAAGTCGTGACCAGTGATGTCCAACTAGTCAAGTGTGAGGATGGATTTCCTATCGATGACATTGGATGGTGCCCGTCGCGCTGAATATCACGAAATGGTAGAAGTTAGAATTCATGGGGTGGCCATTGGGAAGTCGGGTCCCAGTGGCTGAATGGTCTACGAGCTAGCTTGCCTTGTTGAAACTGTGGCAATGGGTGCGTATTGCTGATGATTCTCAAAAAACTAGGATGAAGCAGCTGTCCAGTATTCTTTCGCTAATCTCAGAAGCGGTATGAGTCCCTTCAAGGTTGCAGATACGTCCTGCTAACTAGTGAGTGCCAACTAGCACGAAACCTAAATGGTGTCCGATTCTTCCTGTGACTGATTGCCTCCAACCATCTAATACTACTAGGAATCTTTTGTTCAATAAATATGTGGCAGGAAATGGAGATGGACTGGGCATACTTCACTTAGAAGGCCATCGAATGATATCGGGCTCTATGCAGAACATTGCTCAAGTACAGCCTGAATGGGAAGCGGGCGACGAGTGCGCCGTGAGTGCGAGGATGACATAGAGGAGATGGTGTGTTGTGGAAGAGGAGATGAGAGATTATTGGAAATCGTGAATCCAACCAGCTGAAGAGGAGATCAGAAAACAGAACAAAGTGTAGAAGTATTGTTGAAGCCATATGTTCCATCTGGAGCCCGAGGGAATAATAATAATAGCATGTGATTTCACCTCATAAGTCATTGTGATTTTCTCATAAATTAATGTACTCCTCAATTGTGTAATAATTATTACCATAAATTTTCATCATTTTAGGTTAATTTTAGTAAAAATCGTCTAGTCAGCATAATACCATTTGATTGGAATCGTGTAACTTTATGTCCAGTACGTGGGGTAGATGGATCTGATTATATAAATGCCAGTTTGATTGATGGTTATCTCAAGAAAAATGCTTATATCGCTTGTCAAGGACCAATGGTATCAACTGTAGAAGATTTTTGGCGTATGCTTTGGGAAAAACACAGTTGCTTAATTGTCATGTTATGCTCAATTAAAGAAAGTGGGAAAGTGAGTGATGGTTTTATTTATTTTATTTCTTTTTGGTAAAAAGATTTTTCCTCGGTGAAGTTGATACTTTTTAAAAGGTTTCAGTTAGAGAACCATTGGAAAACCATCATTGGAGTACTGGACAACAGCTGTTTCGTTAGTCTAATTCGGGGCTCCTCAGCAACACACATCCAACGATGGGGTTCGAACTCAGGACCTTCCGGTTAGCAGGTAAGTTAGTTCGCAGACCATTAAGCCACTGGGACCCAATCCAGTGGCCAGTCCATGAAATCTAAATTTCACCATTTAGAAGATATGAGTTATAAGTGTTTTAATTATTGGAATGCTGATGTTTCTGATCTCTGTGTAAATATATTTAAGTCATTCAAGAATGAAGGGTTACCTCAATGACTTTAAAGTTTAATATGTATTTCATAAGAAGATGAAATTTTGATAATATAAATATATATAATAAACATTTGGCAATTTATTTGGTACCTGGTAGATGATGATGGAGAAGAATTCTGCAATGCTGGCTTTGCGGCCAGCCGTTTGGACCAGGTGGTCTAATATCTAACTGCTGATGGTTTTTATTACACCTTTACTTTACTGAAAGATGTTCTCGAGCACGAAAAATCAAGTTCCCAGAGCGAAAGCCAATATAACTCGCTCCACCACAAGCTCAATTCAATTATGAAGTACAATTAGGGGTGGCCAGCTAGTCTAGGTACTTCATCTTTCAATCGAGGAATCACCATCAGTCGTGTAGAAAGTAAAACTTGTAGTTTGCCAGCATTAAAAGTTCTTTGAACGGATTTTCTTAACTTCTTCGTAATTATTTCGCTAGGTATATCGCCCTTGAATTGCAGTAGCATATAAGAAGGCTTCTTGTTTGCGGGTAGTGAAGAGTCCTTTCCAACTTTCTTAGTCATATGTTTCCTGATGAGTTTGTCTGGATAGCTATTTTCAGTCAATCAAGGTATCATATACAGTCCTTAGTTCATCTTCAGTTACATCTTCTGAGCATATAGCTCTAACCGTGTGGCTGAGGGTCCTAACTAAATTTCTTATGTACTGGAGAGGAACGAAGCTGTGAAAATGTGTATATTGTCTCGTCCATGTCTTTTTATGCAATTCTTTATACTACCATCTGGTTTTCTTGTAAGAAGGACATTTAGGAAGGTATTTCTATTTTGAGATTCCTCTTCGCACATGAATTTCATAACAGAATTTACTTCACTGAAATGAGTTATTATTGTGTTCCTATTCGAATCATTATCACAAAGAATGAAGGTATCATCCATATACCGGCAATAAAATGAGAATTTTCTGATAAGGTTGTTCAGTGGTCCATTTTCTAGTTTCCTAAGAAAGAAATTTGCCAACATGGGACTCAAACGGGGAGCTCATCGCTACCCCATCCACTTATCCGTAAAGTGTGCCATCAAATTTAAAATTTACATTTTTAAAGGATTTCCGTTCGGATACCAATATTTACCGCCTGGTTATACACTCGTTCACATATTATGTAGTTAACTGTTTCTATTAGAGGTACATTTGTGAATAAAGATGTAATGTCCAAAGATATCATACTTTTATCTTGATATTAATATCTTTGATAGTGTCTACGAATTCAAATGCACCTTTGACGCTATACTTCACTACCTATCCGTTCATGCAAAGGTTTGAGAATATTTACTAACCGTCTAGCTAGAGCATGGTAGGGCGAATTTTTACACATCAATATTGGTCCTAACGGTACTCCCGGTTTGTGCACTTTAGGTTGGGCCATACAATCTTGCCGTGCACTAAACTGTGTGTGTGTGTGTAGATTGCAAACTGGCTAATTAATCTGTAAATAGAGAATACGATTTATGATGTTACCAGTTCGCCCAAGTAGCAAGCCCAGATTCAAGTGGTTTAAATTAATGCTTTGACTGTCTAAGTGAAGCCGAACAGGATACGCCAGTGATGAGCTCGTCCCCTGACCAGCAAAATGGCTATCCGCTGTGCTTCGACCACCTTGATCTCGCTAGCAAATACTACTGTTTGATGTGAGTAGTATAAAACTACTCACTTCCATCAATCAGTAGTATATAGATCTACATATTGATACTTCATACATTTATTCCCCTTTATGAATTGAAACAAAGCAAAAGCAACAAATTTTTGTCGTCATCGGATTCTCCCTTCAGACGCTTACAGCCTAAAAGTTGATTATATGTAAATGTACACTAAATTTTGTCAAACTTCCAAGGATCAACATGATTTTTGTTAGCAGAGACCACACAAGTCGAACACAGGGCTTCAACAAAAAATTTACACTTTATTCTATTTTCTGATCTCCTCTTCAGATGACTGGGCACATGATTACCTGTAATCTGTCATTTCCACCTCCCCCCCCCAAAAAATCTCTTCCATGTCACCCTCGTACTGAAGACCCACCCATCACTCGTTTCCAATCCACCTTCCACTTCAGCGATGGCCTGCATGGACCAAGACATCTCCTCGACGGTCTCCTCAGTAAAGTGCTACCAATCCATCTCCATTTTCTCCTACATATTTGATGAGCAATCGGCTCTTCGTTGGTTGGTTTGTTCATCTCCAGAGTTTCTTGTTGTTGATTCTTTCTGGTCAGCCGGTCATCTATCTGATCTTCAGCATGCAGCCAACGAAGGGGGCAGTTGCTGATATAAGTCTGCACTGGCCTGTTCGAAATACTTTTCGTGACTGAAGAACTGAGTGACTGACTGACTTAACATTCGTGTTGAATAGAATCTTTATCTGGCTGGCTGGCTAAGTGAAGCAGAAGATTCCCAAACTGATTTCAGGTTGATGAAGGTGTATGTGGCCCTTCTGATTCTCGCTGGCTGGTTTCGACATCCCCATCCGTGCTATCCGACTGCCTGTGGTTGAAACGATGCTTCCTAGCCAGATAATTGAACGAAGCAACCTCTTTCAAAACTCTTTCTTTAGTGATTGTTTTGTTGTTGTTTGGTTGTCTTCATCACCTTCATCTTCGCTATGTTCAGCTGAGGTCCTGTCTTCGCTGCATGCCTCCTTCTGTTAGTTTGTTTGTTAGTTTTCGCATATAAATCTCCGAGCTAGCGTGACATTACAAATAAATCGTCCACAAGCGAAATCCAGATCCCCTAGAGTCCTCTTGTTGGTCAGTGCAGCATATTCCTGTCTTCTCACTCCGAACTCACAGTCTGAAGCACAATCCAGTCCGCCACAATTAGGAATATCCTAGTGGGTGATAACAGGCGGCCAGGCTTGTTGTACTCCTATATTCATTTCATTGGCAGGCTTCACTGAGTTTTCCTTTGGGGATCACCTAGCACACGACATTGTTTTATAGCCAACTGCATGCCATAATGTTTAATTAGTTTCCAAATATCTTCTCGGTCAACACTGTTGAAGACGTCTTCAAAGACGATGAAGATGAGTTAGGGGTTGTATGATGATGCGTAGACACATGCACATTTTACTTAACATCACTGAAATTAATTCCATTCCATTTTATCTGTGTTACCTTCGATTTTGTCTGCAATTCCAAGACCGATGCCTGAACACTATCATACTTACCTTGATTACTTATCCAGTCATTGAGTTTTGGCGTTAGCATCAATGTATTGTGAATAAATATAGCTACATAATTACTACATATACACAGACGTTTGTTGAGTACAAACAGTGAATACTACATATGCATGAAGGCACCTAGCAGTAGTTTATCTTTTCATGCATCAATGTTTCTCATCCAAAATAGTTAACCGTATTACACTAATACCATTTAATGCCCAAAATTCTCTTTCATCCCACGTAAACTCTAAGTCAGTAAACTGGAAACTGAAATCCTGTCCTGATTCTTATTTCCACTCTAGTTGTATTTATCATTTCGAGCGAAGATTATCACAAATACCTTAGCTAAAGATGAGTTTTGTGTAGACTAACTGATTTCCAGTGGGGGGGGGGGAAAGATGGTGCAACAGAATCCCTAAACTTCAGCTGACTTAAATTCCATTATGGATAAAATTTATTTTGATAATGTCTCACAGAGTGTTACACTTGATGACCACGTTTCCAGCACAATTTATTACTGCAGCTCATAATCTTATCAAGTTACTCACACAACATCACAACTCCGTTTATTTAATTTCATTATTTCTCATCTCTTGATTCGATTGGCAGTGGTATTTTCCATATTTCAGTTATAAGTGATGAGTCATTTGTATTCCACGTGTTGGATGTAGATTATTCGATGAACCAGGATCCAGTAATCAACCTCTCTCGCTCTTCACCTACACATATTGCTTTTTAGAATTTTAACTCGCTTCAACTCTATTGTGTGGTCATGTATTAGTGAATACAGTACAACTGCTGAGTTTTTTTCTAAATTACTCACCTGTCTTGGTGAGGTCAATCATCCTAACCTTAGCTAAATCCCTGTGTTTTGACCATCTGAAAACCTACAACCTACTAGTTTCACCTATGTAGTCAATGCAAGGTATTGTGTAAATTATATTATTTTTTATTTCCCAGTGAATGAAAAATAAAACGATATCGTTGTTGTGTTTTACTGACGTTTCTCTATTTAGTGCTGCTGCTAATAGCTTTATCAAAGTAGTATTATTAAACCAGAATTTACAAAATCCACTCAGCTTACATTATATAACAACTTGATCATCGTTCCTCAATATGGGGCCATTTTGCGTTGTTAAATTGGCCAGTTGGTAAAGATAACAAAACCATGTGTAAATTGTTGGATTTGATAAAACAGCATGTCTTTACATAGTTAAATTGCTCATCCCATTCGTGTTGATTTTGTCACATCATGGGGGAGGAAGGTGTTGTAACTAGGTTAAATTCTGTTTTAGTCCATCATTCCTATTCATTTCAGACAATTTAGATTCCACTTGATATGAAGTGCTTGTGATATTAGACGTTTTTTGTGATTTCTGAAGTTTTTCGGGATTATTTCAATATTGTCAACATCAATTTTGTGGCCTGATACTATAGCGTATAGACCTATGACTTTTCTAGTTCAACTGGATTTCTCAGTGGTCGAACAGATGCTCTACGGTGTTCATTTCTTCTGATTCTGATTTCTCGAGATGTTTGTCCAATGTATATCGCATCACATTCCAAGCATTTTATTTTATAGACACAATTAGATAGAGAATCTTTAGGGATTTGGTCTTTTATAATGGGTAAATTTTGTTTTGATAAAGTCTCACAGTGTTATACATATCAATCTTGATATGATTATGAGCAATAAATTGTGCTCGAAACGTCATCAGCAAACATTACTGTATAACACTATGAGACTTTATCAAAACAAAATTTACCCATAATGGAATTACACTCTACCACAATGCACAAGTTTTATTCTTATATCAATTTGGTCTTTTATATGGACAAGGCAAAAACAATATCGTTTTGTTTTTCATCCATTGGGAAATACAAAAAACATTTATTATAATGAATACCATATACCTAATGTTAAAAGTGAACTTGGTTTGGACATATACGAATTATATTATTTTGTCTAACTGGGTCAACCTACAGGCTCCTTTAACCTACCTACAGAGCTTGTCCTGCCTAAGTGAGTTTGTAGGTTTGAATGCCATCCTAATTCCTGCTTTATTAGGAATTCTACGTAGGGAGGGTCTCAAATATCTTCCCTCCTTATACGGTAAAACTGTAGATGACTTATATTCTCTCTTATTTATGTTATCATTTACTATTTTGATAAATCACACAGTGTTACACAGTAATATTAACTGATGACGTCCACGTTTCGAGCACAAATAATTGCTCATAATCATATCAAGTTACACAACTTTTTCCTTCATTTATATATATGTATGGAACCGAGCAGTAGCTCTAAGTAGCACAAGAAAAGACCTAAATGATGAAATAAAACAGATAGAAGAGGCGTTGGTGTTGAATAGCTATCCCATAAAATTCATTAGGAAGATCAGTAAAGGCCAAAAGCAAAATAAAAATAATTATGAAACTAATAAGGATGACACAAATAAGAGAGAATATAAGGCATCTACAGTTATACCATACAAGGAGGGGACATCTAAGACACCGTCTACGTAGGATTCTTAATAAAGCAGGAATTAGGGTGGCATTCAGTCCTACAAACTCACTCAGACAGAACAAGCTCTGTAGGCTAAAAGACCCGGTGGACCCAATTAAACAAAATAATATAATTTACAAAATACCTTGCAATGACTGTGAGGTCAAACTAGTAGATCGGGGGTAATCAGATTGTCGGAACATAAGAATTTAGCTAAGGTAAGAATGGTTGACCCCGAGAAGATAAGTAATTTAGAAAAAAGCTCAGCAATTGCACTACATGCAATAACACACAACCACACAATAGGGTGGGAGACGGTTAAGATTCTAAGAAGTAATCTATGTAGGTGGAGAGAGAGATTGTTTACTGAGTCTACACCCAACACATGCAACAGAAATGACTCAATGCAAATACCAGAAATATGGAAGATACTATTACCACCAGTCAAATCAGAAGAGGATAATAAATAATCTCAAAATTCTATTTCAATTCAAGCAAATCACAGCATTCTAACAAATTACTTATTATAACTATAAGAACATTCGTCTGATTTCCCATCTAATTGTATTTGATCAATAACACTCATATTATTATTTCTGAATGTACATTATCTCATATTGATTTTTATTCAAATATCTAGTCAATTCCATACATATATATAAATGAAGGAAAAAGTTCTGTGAGTAACTTGATGTGATTATGAGCAGCAATAATTTGTGCTCGAAACGTGGTCATCAGTAAATATTACTGTGTAACACTACACTGTGTGACACTTTATCAAAATGAAATCTTATCCATAATGGAGTTACGCTCTACCACAGTGCCCAAGGTTTATACTTATGTCAGTTATCATTACTAGTTTCACAATTATTTTTATTTTGCTTTTGACCTTTTCTGATCTTCCTAATGAATTTCATAAGATAGTTATTTGATACGAGCGCTTCTTCTGTCTGTTTCATTTCATCATTTAGGTCTTTTGTTGTACTACTTACTGCTACTGCTCAGTTTGTTAGACATTTAACTAAACCTGCCCCTACAGACAACAAATGAGATGACCTAAATTCTAAATATCTATTAGAATGTGTTGGTTTTTTATAAATGCTAGTGTGCAGTTTACCTTCTTCCCTTCCTTTTATTTTACAATCTAACATAGATAGCTGATTCTCCTTGTTCATTTACCGATTCAAGTGTGAATTTTATTCCCTTTACTAATGACTTCATATGTGTGAAGAAGTTAGAGATATGACTCATCGACAGTACAAACCGAAGAGTAGCAAACTAGGACGAAACAGCTGTCCAATACTCTCCCTTGTTTTCAATGGTAATATGTAAATTTAGAATTTCTTCTTTTTTCTTTTATTTCTTTAATTTCATCTCTTATTTTTTTCTGTCTTTCTTTCTTTCTTCTACTTGTTTCAAGGAGAAATGTTTCACCTATTGGCCAGAGGATAAATTAGCACGTTATCAATTCTTTGTAGTGGACTTGACAGCACAGTATACAATGTCTAGTCATATATTAAGAGAATTTAAAGTAACCGATGCACGGGATGGAGAATCACGTATCATTAGACAGTTGCAGTATATTCAATGGAATGAACAAGGTTTACCACAGACAAGTGAAAGTATAATTGATTTAATTGGACATATGCATAAAATTAAAGAGCAACAGAATTATGATGGACCGATAACTGTTCATTGCAGGTAACAAGTTAAAAATTTTAGAAATGTTTTGATGTTATACATTTAATCAATGGATAAATGTTTATAAAACACAAAATAATGGAGCAAAGAATATCCTTCTCGATAAATTCATCTTCTGCCTCTACAATCACATATATATGCATGTTTATATACATAGAATATTCTAGATTAGTAGTCAATAGCAATATGAGTGTTTTTTAAATAATATCGATTTGTTAAGTAAGATCACAATGGAATTACAGTTCATTAAAGATGCATAAATAATAATAGTAATAATAAAGATATAATAGCAAATTGAATATCAACTAAAATTAACGAAATTTCTACAAAAAGTCAGGATCATTCAAACCCCGATGGCCAAGGTAAGGATAATGTCTCAACTAACTTCTATTGGATGCACAAATTAGGCTTGTTAATATGGATCCCAACAGCCAGCCTCAGCAATATTTAGTAGTCGAACTCTTAAGGCGAAATTGAGATTCGTAGGTATGCGGTAAATGACCCTGAAAGCATGGTTAACGTCAATCTTGTGTTCTGTATCCACAAGATGAGATAGAATAGCGCTATGGGTGGAATTCGTTTGTCCTTTACTTAACCACGATGCAGGGTGATGTTCGGAAATTCGACGAGAAACACACCTAATTGTACACCCTACGTAACTGACTCCACAGGGGCAGTTAAATTGGTAGATACACATGGAAGAGGCGAAATTAGGCAGTTTGTCTTTTACTCCCGAACGCAAAATACGGGTGGGTGGTTTTGAAGACACAGCGTAATTCATCAACAGCGGAGAATACTCTTTTTACCTCATTTCTAAGGCGCTGTGTTAGTGTTTCACCGATGATGTCCCCAAGGAACTGCATTTGTAAGAATAAGGCCTTTTTAGGAACTGTTGGTACCTTGGGCTGGCTTGATTTTAGATTCATATTCTTATCAATAAACTTTCCTGGTTGAAACCGTTTTCACTCAGTAACCGTTTAATATTACTTAGTTCCTCATCGAGACATTCCTCCGAGCAGTTCGCTTTTGCTCTGTGGCGGACTAAGCACTTTATCAGATTGCGGGCACAAAGCTGAAAAACTGAGTATACTGACCCGTTGATGTAGGTTTTGTATATACACTTCTTCTTCTTACTGTACGATCCTCTTTTCTGGTCATAAGGACCTCGAAAAATGAAATACCACAGTCTTTTTCTTTCTCAGTAGTAAAATTTATTGCAGGATGAACCTCGTTAAATTTATCCGGAGTGTTCTTTGCTTCCTCCTCATTTTTCATAATCGAAAATGTATCAACCATGCACCAACAAAAGAATTCAAGTTCATCAGTAACATTTTTCAGAGGCCCATTTTCTAGTTTCGCAGGGGAAATGTCTGCTAGAATGGGTCCTAGCGATGACCCCATTGCTACACTATTGATTTGTCTATATCATAGCATCACTTAAGAAAATAGTGTAAGATACACACAAGGAGAAGAACCAGCGAAGATAGGACTTCAGGTGAATATAGAGAATACGGAACTGATGAAGATAACCAACCAAACAACCACCACCAGTCACCCCAACGGGAGAAACTTGAAAGACGTTAGTTACTTCATTCGCTTATCTGGTTAGAAAGAATTGTTCCAACCAAGGCAACAGCAAGAATGAAGATGTCAAAACCAGCCAGCGAGAATCAGAAAAGCAAGATACACCTTCATCAACCTGAAACCAGTTCGGAAGTCTTCTCCCTTAACTCAGCCAGCCAGCCAGCCAGTGTAAACAACAAGATTCGGATTCTATTCAACACAAATGTGAAGCCAGTCAGTCTGTTCTTCCACTATATGGGTTAGAAACTTGGTGAACGCATCACGAAAAGTATTTCCAAATGGCGAGTGCAAACTTTTATCAGCAAATGCCCTCTTCGCTAGCTCCACAGTGAAGATCAGATGGATGATAGGCTGGCCAGAAATAATTAGCGACAAGAAACTCTGACAATGAATAAACCAGCGAAGGGCCGATTGCTCAATAAATATGCAAAATTGATTAAAGATGCCCATTCAAAATCCAAAAGACTGATTATTGAACAAAGAATAATTTTCTTGATAACCCACTCTTCATCAGTTTCTAGAGTTATATATCCATTATTATGACACAATGATTGTTAGTGACGACTTTAGTGGCTTTTAAAAAGAGTAACATCGAATCACTGAGATCAGACTGGTGAGTACCAGCCAACTAGCACGAAACCTAATTGGTGTCCAGGGCTTCCTGCGGCCGATTGCCTTCAACTATCTAATATCAAAAATTCAAGGTGGAGCGTAGTTGACAGCTACCTAGAATGTTGGCCATATTGCAAACCTAACTTATAGAATTCAGTCTGTACCAAAAACAAAGGACTAGACACATCACACTAGTTACTAGTGTCCAATGAAAGAAGCAATTATGTCACATAAGTGTTGGACATACGAATCTTGTTCCTCATGCTGAGTGCAGCATACTTGCAAACAAGATTCATTTCGGGATTTCGTCATGAACTAACATCATTTAGAGAACCATTGGAAAACCATCACTCCAGTACTGGACAGCCAGCTATTTCGTCAGCCTAGTTGTGGTCTCTTCATAGCCAAGCATCTAACCCACTGACCGGGTTCGAACTCAGAGCCACCTTCCAGTTACAAGGCGACCTAACTCGTAGATCACTAAAACAACCAATGTGACTCAACCCAATGGCTATCCCATGAATTCCAACTTCTGCCAATTCACGCATGATATGGCGCGAATGGCACTGGCGAATGTCATCTCTGGCGAGTGTTTGTCCTCACACCTGAACTGCGCTGTAGATTCATTTTAAATCAGTTATTTCTCTTGAAATGCAACCACGGATCTTGATTTTCTTTTGATTTTTGATTATAGCTTGATTCCACACAGTAATTTTGGCACAAGTAGGGAATTTTCAGCATTTGATATCGGTAGCCCAAATTTTGCAGGCCGACCATTGATATCGGGTGTGCGTTGGCAGAGGATCGAACCCCGGACCATGTGCATGGTCGGCGAGAGTCCTAACCACTGTGCCACGACGCACAGCTGAAAGGATGAAAATATTCCGAAATGTTTATAATTCCACTTATGTACATATATATACCACCGGCAACTCGACAAGAGATACCACCAACAACACGCACGGAAATACCAGTGGACACCACTCCTCCAACGAAAGAAGTAATCCTGAATGCGATCAAGCTACTGAAGTCCGGGAAGGCAACAGGACCAGATGGTACTCCTCCCGAAGCACTGAAGACTGCCCCAGAGATTATGGCAGATGTCCTCATTCCATTACTGCAAAACGCTTGGAAAGATGAAAAAGTGCCTACTGATTGGAAGAAGGGTTACCTCGTCAAAATGCCAAAGAAGGGCAAATTAGGCCTCTGCAAGAACTGACGTGTAATAATGTTCTTGTCCACGCCAAGTAAAATACTAATTCGCATCATCCTGGAGAGAATAAAAGATGCACTGCATACAGAACTCCGTCGGCCGGAAACAAGTTGGATTCAGGAATGGCTAATTATGTGCTGATCAAACTGCTACTCCGAGCATCGTCATCGAACAAAGCATAAAATGGCAGCCAAACCCCTATCTCGACTTCATCGACTTCGAGAAGGCATTTGACATCGCCAACCGAGAAGTAATTTTGAAACTACTCCAACACTACGGCGTACGTCAAGTCTTTGTAAACCTCATTCAACAGCTGGCTATACGACAATGCCACGTGCCAAGTGATCCACAACGGCAGCCTCAGCGACGAGTTCGAAGTACATACAGGAGTAAGACAAGGCTGGCTGCCTATTACCACCGATGATATTCTTAATTATGGTGGACTGGATTATGCATCAGACTGTTGGGGGCGAGGAGTCAGGAATACGCTGGACGACTGATAAGAAGACTCTAGAAGATCTGGATTTCGCAGATGATATATGTCTAATGTCACACAAACTCGAAGACTTGCAAGCGAAAACCAAAAATCTGGCTGAAGAGGTAGCGAAATCAAGACTGCAAGTGAACACAGAGGAGACGGAGGTGATGAAGATAACCAATCAACAGCAAAAACAACCAGCACCAATCACCATCAACGGGAGATATATAAGAGAGGTTGCCTCCTTCCCTTATCTAGACAGCGAGCATCGTTTCAACCACAGGAGGAACGGATGAAGATGTCAAAGCCAGCCAATCAGAATCGGAAAGGCAAGATACGCCTTCATAAACCTGAAACCAGTTTGGAAATCTTCCGCACTCAGCATAAAGAACAAGATTTCGATTCTATTCAACAAAAATGTCAAGTCGATCCGTCTATACGGGTCAAAACTTGCACTGCGTGTCACGAATAGGATTTCCTTCATCAACAGCTGCCCCATTCGCTGGCTCCATTCTGAAGATCAAATGGCCAGACAGAATAAGCAACAAGAAACTATGGGAACAAACCAACCAAGAGCTGATCGTTCAACAAACACATGAGAGAAAGTGGAGATGGATCGGGCATACATTGAGGAGGCCGCCGAATGACATCGCACTCCATGCCAGTGCTCGAGTGGAATCCAAATGGGAAGCGACGAGTGGGTCGTCAGTGCAAGGGTGATATGAAGGAGATCGTGTGAGGAAGAGATGAGAGAGTTTGGTCAATCGTGAACCCAGCTGAAGAGGACGATAGAAAACAGAACAAAGTGGAGATGTGTTGTTGAAACCAGCCCTATGTTCCACTCGGAACTCAAGGGAATAATATATATGTAACTTCTACTGACCGTCTCATGCATTCATCCTTCTCTTTTGTTTGTTTTTACTTTGTTTTAAAGCTCTGGTGCTGGTCGAACAGGATTATTTATAACAATGTGCAATGTGTTGGAAAGGCTACGTCAAGAATCAGTTATCGATATGTATCAAACAGTGAAATTACTTCGGCAACAACGTGTTTGGATGGTACAAACAGAAGAACAATATCGTTTCTGTTATACAGCTACACTGGACTACTTGAATTCATTTGATCTGTGCACTCAACCACAATTACAAGCACCAATACCAATAATACCAATACCAGTACCCATACAAATGCATAATTTACACAGAAATTCACCAAATTTAAAAACAAAATTAAAATCTACCCAATTATCTGATAAAAGCGTTCTATTTGAATTTGATAAAAATTATGAAATAGGCAATAATCATAATAATAATAATTTAATAATTCAATAGGAGAATTAAAACAATGACAATTGATCATTGAACACTTGTCATGAAAGCCAGTGAATATAGGTATATCTATATACTACTCATTATGTTTGAGTAGTACTCAAGTAATTTATTTTCATGTTACCAACTGCTGTTCATTTTTTTCTCCCCCTTCCTACTTTCTTGTGAATAAAATCTAATATTTAATTGTAAAACTTATGTTTTTTCTGAGACATAGGGATTCAGACTTGAAGCCTCGAAGACTCAGTGGTCTTGGGGTTATTTTTTACTGTGTTACTAGGTGGAGGGTCTGTCTGTTTTCGACATAGAACTTTGCACCGATGTGCAGCAGTTCAAATCGCCACACTACCTCCATGTAGCACACAAAGCAAGAGAAGAAAGTAAAAAGAAATGCAAAATAGAGACATTAGATAGGAATATGAGACAAAAGGAATCGCAATAACGAAGAACAATATAGTTTCATTGGGTGTTATAAGTCACAAGGAGTGGATGCATCTGCACCAGCCATTGAGAACGACTTTGAGCCATATCACCGATTGTCTCCACCCACTCGTTTTTACCGTCCCGAGGACCCCAACCAGGAAGCCAGTCTACACCTTCCTACGTGGCTTAATCTAACTGTTGTGGATTTCATGGACTGATGAAGTCATGTTTACGTTTGACCGCCACTAGCTCTTTTCCAATCTGACCATAAGTCAGCTAACATTTCCCATTGTCGAGGAAGGCGATGACTAGGCATGCGCGTAACATATATCCTAACCATCTCAATTGATGTAGCTTCACAACCTCGTCGACTGATTCCCTCTCGTTATCTAGCACTTGACGCCTAACCTCAATATTGCTCACCTTATTATACCACTTCACACGGGGGATAGAACGCAGGCACCTATGATCAAAGACAGCTAGCCAGACTTTTCATGTCTTCCACTTTCAATGGCCAGGTCTCACGACCATAAAGGAGGATGAAGGGGACCGCTGAGCAGTACACAAGCCCTTTGGTCAATAGTCGGATATCATGTCTACACCAGAGACTGCATAAACTGGCATATGAGAAACTAGCCCTCTGTATTCGTACTGAGATTTCGTCAGAGGTCAACCCGTTGGGGTTGATGGTACTTCCCAAATAAGTGAAGTGAATGGTCAACGTGCTCTACCACTTCACTCCCTATTTCTAAACTAGAAGTCAGTGTAGTCCAGTCCTGTAACATCAAGTTACATTTGGCAGGAGTGAATCGCATGCCAAACATTCGTAGATTGCAGTTCAAGGTGTTCAGAAGTCTCTGCATTTTGCCCTCAGTGTCCTCGCCTAGAAGGACTATATCGTCTGCATATTCTAAGTCAGCGAGATTATTCCCTGGTAGCAGGTCAATCCCTGAGTCTCTGAAGTGAGTTAGGGTTAAATTCATTAGTACATCTATGATGAAATTGACTGAATGAACCGTTTACCTATTCTTGGCAAGATTTTATAGGTAGTCTGGCAGAAATCTAACCCATGACCAGATACCTGAATGGTGGTCATTCTAGCACTAAGCCACTAGTGCATATTCGTTAGTAATAGTTATCCTGTTAACGGAAAAGTTCGCAAATTTAAAAAATTTTTTTTGAATCAAGCATTTCAAATGATAATTTAGTTTCTATATTTATTGGGAGATTGATGATAACATAACCTACCTATAAATATTCACAGTAATACTGACAGTAACTGATTGTCCCATTAATCTAACAATTTCATATGGTGGTAATTATTATTCCCTCAGGCATACGATTTTCCATAATGTCTCATCTCCTCATCCTCCCCAACACACGATCTCCTCCATGTCACTCTTGCACTGACGACCCACTCGTTGGTCGTTTCCCATTCACCTTCCACTTCAGCGAAGGCCTGACCAAAACGCGGTGTCAGTCAACTGTGTCTTCAGTGGTGTATTCCCAATCCATCTCCCTTTTCTCCCACATATTTGTTGTGCAATCAACTCTTGGTTGGTTGGTTATTTCATTGCCATAGTTACTTGTTGGTAATTTTTTCTAGCCATCTCGCCGGCCATCCATCTGATCTTCAGTATGGAGCCAACGAAAGGGGCAGTTTTTCTTAAAAGTGTGCACTGGCCTGCTGGAAATGCTTCTCGCGACTTACGCTCAGTGCAAGTTACTGACCCACATAGAAGAAGTGACTGACTGACTGGCTTGACATTGGTCTTGAAAATCATAATCTATCTTGTTGTTTATGCTCGCTGGCTGGCTGAGTGGAGCAGAAGATTTCTAAACTGACTTCAGGTTGATGGAGGTGAATCTCGCCTTTCCCTTTCTGATCTGTCTCGACATCTTCATCCGTGCCGCCGCCTGTAATTAAGACGATGGTGCTTGGCTAGATAAGTGGATGAAGCGACCTCTTTCAAATTTCTACCATTGACTGATCATAAAAGATTATTATACTTACTGTCGACTTCAGAGAACCAACGGTAGAACTTCCACAAGCCAAGCGGAAGATACGTGTTCGACTCTCAGTCGAGGAACTCTGTAGTCATGCAGTTTGCTGGTAGACATATCAGGCCTTGAAATCCCCAACAATACCATCACTATTGCAACTTCCAGTCACCGTAATCCGTAATAAGACTCAATAGAAGATATTCACATGGTGGTTTGCAGGGATTTTATTGGTTACAAGATTTCATCATGAACTGATATTGGTTAGAAAACTATTGAAAAACCGCTACTGGAGTACTGAAAAGCCAACTGTGTCATCAGCCTAGTTTTAGACTCTTCAGTACTCTGAGGCTTTCCATTGGTTCATGATGAAATCCTGTAACTAATCAAATAAAATCCTCGCAAACCAATACTTGAATATCAAGCGGATGCTCATTACAGACTGGCCCGATTCAGGTAGGTAGTTACTGGCGGGGTGTCCAGTGGGAAGTCGTGACCAGTGGGGTGCAGAGGGTCGAGTGTGAGGATAAATTCTCGCCATCGATAACATTCGCAATTGCCAGTCACGCAATATCGTGAACTGGTAGAAGTTGGAATTCATGGACTGACTGGCCATTGGGTTGGTGGGTTCCAGTGGCTTAATGGTCTGCGAGCTAACTCGCCTTGTAACTCGAAGGTCCTGGGTTCGCATTTCAGTGGGGTGGGTGCGTACTGCCGATGATTCTCAAACTAGGATGAAGCAACTGTTCAGAAATGGCGTGGTGGTTCTCTAACCGATGTCAGCTCATGATGAAATCCTGTAACCAATCAGCTAAATCCCTACAAACCAATACTTGAACACCTGTGGAGTGGTTGGCGAGCATTCTAAAATCGATGAAGAACAATTCTTAGAAGAATACTATTCAAAAAACACAGTAATCATTAGAAAAAGGCACAAACGGCAAATAAAATTTTCTTTTCGACGATTCATTTTCATGAGCTGCTGTACAATCGTAATTAAATTAAACAAAGAAATCTTTAGACCAATCAGATACTGGTTAACTTTGTCCTCGAAAAATGTGCGTCGGTGGCACAGTGATTAGGACTCTCGCCGACCATGCACATGGTCCGGAGTTCGGTCCCCTGCCGACGCACACCCGATATTTATGGTCGGCCTGCAAAATTTGGGATACCGATATCCATGCTGAAAATTCCATACTTGTACTGAAAATACGGTGTGACATCAAGCTGTAATCAAAAATATAAATATATAAAATAATGTAAGGTGTAAAAAAGGATGACTAATTGTAAGTTAGAAAGGAGGCAGAATTTGGCGTGACGTAATAAGTATGAGATAATGACTAATCAATAAACTCGTGTAGAATGGACAGGAACTAGTGGAAAGGCGATAGAGTGTTTTTATATAAAATCTGTATGAAAAAGCAATGTTATTAATAAACAATAACAGTGTAGTAATAAAGTATGGATGATGGAAATAATAACGATAATAAAATAATAGTACTAATAACAATAATAATAATAGCGAACTTACATAATAAAAAAGAAAGAAGCAAGATTATAGTGATAACTTTACTCTTGCCACGGTAGGGCAAGAGAATGTATGTATCACTTTTGAATGCAGAGGTCTGGTTTCAGATCTCGAATAGCTAACGCTTCAGCTATGGACAGATGTCGTATGCGAAGTCCCTTTGTACGATATTGTGGGACTGTGTGTGGCACCGTGAAGCACTCCTGTCAGGTTGCTCGATGTCCGGAGATGACAAGGTGTTCGAGGATCGAGCTGCTGCTATTCTTCTTTTCTCCTCTGACTGGCTAGCCAATCTGGACAGTGTTCCAGAATAAGTTTGTGGACTTGACGTTGCGTCCGGCCGATATACTTTGCTCCACTCGAGCAAGTAAATTGATAAATACACATTAAAGTGGCCAAAAGCAGTATCTTATCCTTGACGTTAGACTGGATTAACTGTCTGCTGGAGAATGTGATACGTAAGGTGGCTGTTGGAAATGTCTTCTTCAGACATTAAGAAAGGCGGTTTCTGAGAATCTCCGCTGCGATGTCACCTCTGAACTGCAGGTTCATGGAGAGAGTTTTCTTAGTAACAGTTGCAATGTTTGGCGAGGGAAGCTTTTCTTTCATGTTTTTGTCGAGGAATATTGGTGGATACCCGTTCTCCTTCAGAAGGGTTTCACGTGTAGTAAATTTAATGCTTTCTTTACCATGTCTTCTGAGCAGATTTTTCTAATCCTTGAACTTAATGTACTAACCAGATTTCGCTTTCGGATCAGTGCGACGAAGCTCTGCAAGTTGATAAACTGTCCCGTCCATGTTGGCTTGCGATATATCGATTTTCGGATCGTCCAGTCGTGTCTTCTGGTAAGTATTACATCAAGGAATGGAAATGAGTTGTTCGATTCACGTTCTAAGGGTGCGCTAGTAATCGCTAACTTAGAACTAGAAGAAGGAAGGAAGCATTCAGAAAAAATCAATAACAAGGGTCAATTTTTTTCACACAGTATATTGAGGCTCAACTAGGTACAGTCACAAGTGTATAACACTCCAGGGGACATAGACAATCCACACAAAAAACAGG